TTTGGGATAAATCTTTAAAGGATTTATACCTTAGATTATTTGCGTTGGTTGTCAATAAGGAGGGTTTGGTTAGTGAAATGGGAATATGGGAAGGAGATAGGTGGAGATGGAATATAGAATGGGGAAGAGGGAGATTGGGTAGAGAGAGATGAGAAGGAGGTGCTGTGGGAGGTGTTGAGTAGAGTACAAATTAGGGAAGGTCTCGAGGATCATTGGAAGTGCCTATACGATTCTGAAGGGAGGTATGTGGTAAAGGGGGCTTATGAGTTTTTGTCTCCTACGAAGTGCATTATTCTTGACTAGTTTTGTGAGATGATTTGGTGTAAATTAGTACCTTTGAAAGTAAGTTTTTTTGGGTGGAGATTATGTTTGGGTAGACTTCCAAGACGGCAACGAGTCCCCACGGGGGTGGGGACCCCCTCCCCATCCCCATCCCCGTCAATGGCGGGTACGGGGATCCCCGCGGGGAATTTTGGTGGAAGGTCAAAAATTGCCTCCATCCCCATCCCCGCGGGGAATAATAGGTCCCCGCAGATATTCGGAGTCCCCACCATTCACTACTTGTTAATCAAAATTCCAAAAGAAAATAGGAATTTTACAGAATCCTATATAGCAAACAAAGATGATCAAGATCACTCTTTTAAAACAAGCTGGAGGTGAGCGGTGGTGAGTGAGGAGCGTTGTTGACTTGCAGTGATGGGCTGACAACACGGTGCCACGGTGAGAGGCGAGATGAGATGACCAAGCGGCAGCCTTGGAGCTCAGCTGGAGGTGAGTGGCGAGCGTTGCAGGGCAACAGGGGCCAGGGGTTGTAGTGACGGCAAGGTTGAGAATTGAAGGGAATCACTGTGAAGGTCCGTGGAGATGAGGGCAGAGTTTGAGCAAGAGTGTGGCAAAGGACTAGAGGAGAGGAAACTCAGAGACTAGCTGGAGAGACCGACCGAGAGACGGCATGGTGAGTCGGTAAGAGGTTGAGAGCTGAAGGGAAGCACCGATTCATAGTGATCCTGGAGATGAGGGCAGAGTTTGAGCAAGAGTGTGGCAAGGGACTAGAGGAAAAGAGATTCAGAGACTGACTGGAGAGGAGAGACTGACGCCGACCGAGAGAGGAATGAGGAATCCCAATTCCCAAATTCGCAATTTGCAATTGCAAGAAGCGGCAAGCAAAAGAGAGACTGAGTGCAATGTCCTCCTGCTAGGGTTATATGTAAATCGAGCTTGTAAATTGGGCTGTAAATTGGGGCTGGGCAATTAGGTTTAAAATTATTAGATTCACAAAAAAAATTGGGTTGGGCTAAGAATTGGGTTTGAAAAAATTGATAAAAGAATGGGTGTGAAATTTAAGTTATGTTAGTATCAGGTTAACTAATTAAATTGGATAAGTAAAAATTAATTGCTAATATATGTACAAAAAATATATATAAACAAAT